ATTTACTCAAGGATTCAGCCAGAACGTCCCGCTTGCTTCTCGTACCTCGAAGACGCTTCCCGTCATCCGCCAACGAAAACTCCCGTGCAGCGGGCAACCCATATAGTTAAAGATATATATATTTACTCAAGGATTCAGCCAGAACGTCCCGCTTGCTTCTCGTACCTCGAAGACGCTTCCCGTCATCCGCCAACCCCCGTGCAGCCGCGCAACCCATAGATATAAAGATACTCAAGGATTCAGCCAGAACGTCCCGCTTGCTTCTCGTACCTCGAAGACGCTTCCCGTCAAACCCCCGTGCAGCCCCGCAACCCATAGATATAAAGATATATATATATATATACTCAAGGATTCAGCCAGAACGTCCCGCTTGCTTCTCGTACCTCGAAGACAGCGCAGCAACACGACAGACGGCAGCAGCACGGCAGACCAGGAAGGCAGACCACAGGAGCACGGCAGACCAGAACGGCAGACCAGAACGGCAGACCGCAGGAGCACGGCAGAGCAGCACGGCAGACCACAAAGGAGAACGGCAGACCAGCACAGCGTTGTTGCAACAGACGGTGCTGATACACTCTTAATTTATTGAACACGTCCCCAGCGAAATCGTCAGGGTCGGCCGTATTGAGGGCACTCTGCGGGTCATCTTTGGGCCGATTTTGTTTTTGGGGGGCCGTACTGACGCCCTCAAAAACGTTTCCAAGACGACGATAGACTCATTGTTTGTTTGATGATTGTTCGGCCGTCTTGAGGGCACTCTTAGGGCATTGTCTGCCGTGCTCCTCGTCTTGGTCTGACGTGCTCCTCGTCTTGGTCATCCTTTCCGTCGTCTTGAGGGCGCTCTTGGTGCCTGGTCTGCCGTGCTCCTCGTCTTGGTCTGCCGTGCTCCTCTCGGTTTCAGTGCCTGGTCTGCCGTGCTCCTCGTCTTGGTCTGCCGTGCTCCTCTCGGTTCCTGCGCGCGGTCTGCCGTGCTCCTGTGGGGAGCACGGCAGACCACAGGAGCACGGCAGACCACACAGGAGCACGGCAGACCACACCTCGATTTTAGGAGGATGTCTCGAGCGAAATGGCCATTTCGGGGAATCCGCCAACGAAAACCCCCGTGCAGCCCCGCAACCCATAGATACCTGACCGGACAAGAACGGGAAGCGCAGTTTTTTATCCACCACGTGCGTCAGAGACCGTATTGGCGAGAACGTCAGAGAAACCCATAAACGCAACAGAACAGACTAAATGATGGCCTGCCGCGTTCCGACGGCCCAAGACGGCCCAAGAGGCCCCCAAGATCGCTTTAAGATCGCCCAAGAGGCCTTCAAGATGGCCCCGAAACGGCCCAAGAAGTCCCCAAGACGGTCCCAAGAGGGCCCTAACACGGCGCAAGAGGCCTCCAAGACGCCCAAGATGTCTTCCAAGACGGCCAAGATGGCCTCCAAGACGGCTAAGATGGCTCCAAGAGGGCCCCAAGACGGCCCAAGAGGCCTCGAAGACGGTCTGCCGTGCTCCTGTGGTCTGCCGTGCTCCTTTGGGGTCTGCCGTGCTCCTGTGGAGTTTGCCGTGCGAACGTGTGGTCTGCCGTGCTCCTGTGTGGTCTGGCGTGCTCCTGTATGGTCTGCCGTGCTCTTGTGTGGTTTGCCGTGCTCCTGTGTGGTCTGCCGTGCTCCCGTGGGGTCTGCCGTGTCCTGTGTGGTCTGCCGTGCTCCTGTGTGGTCTGCCGTGCTCCTGTGTGGTCTGCCGTGCTCCTTCTTGGTCTGCCGTGCTCATGTGCGGTCTGCCGTGCTCCTGTGCGGTCTGCCGTGCGAACGTGTGGACTGCCGTGCTCATTTGGGGTCTGCCTTGCTCCTTTGTGGTTTGCCGCGCTCCTGTGTGGTCTGCCGTGCTCCTGTGTGGTCAGCAGACCCAGGGCTGAGGGAAGGCTGGAGCAGTGCTCTGGTGGTCCATCACCCGCCCAGCTCCGTCCCCTCCCACTCTGGACCGATCTTGCGGGAAGCTGGCTTGTGGCAGCGCATCGCGCGTCCATAGCGTTCGTGTGCTTGCTTTTACCTCCTTTAATGTCTGCTCCACCTCTCCTTGAGACGCAGAAGCCTCCGAGCGCCGGGAGCAGAAATGATGCACTTTCGAAAAATCTGTTTGGATGAGTTTTGTTAGCGCGGCCTCGGAATTCAATTTTTCCGGCGACGGCCAGAGCCGACGCCAGCGCTGGATCCGGCTCGGCCGCCAGCCCAGGTGCCGGCCCGGGCGTTCGGTTCGAGCGCCGGCCTGGGTGCCGGAATCGGCCCGGAAGGGGTTCCAGGGCGCCGGGAGCAGAAAATCAATATTTTCGAAAGAAAAATATGTCTTGGAGTGGCCTTTTTTCCGCACCGCCTCGGAATTCAATTTTCCGGCGCCGGCCGGCGCCGGAACCGGCCCGGGCGCTGGCCCGGGTGCTGGCCCAGGCGTTCGGCTCGAGCGCCGGCCCGGGTGCCGGAAGCGGCCCGGAAGGGGTTCCCGGGCGCCGGGAGCAGAAAATCAATATTTTCGAAAGAAAAATATGTCTTGGAGTGGCCTTTTTTCGGCACCGCCTCGGAATTCAATTTTCCGGCGCCGGCCGGCGCCGGAACCGGCCCGGGCGCTGGCCCGGGTGCTGGCCCGGGCGTTTGGCTCGAGCGCCGGCCCGGGTGCCAGAAGCGGCCCGGAAGGGGTTCCCGGGCGCCGGGAGCAGAAAATCAATATTTTCGAAAGAAAAATATGTCTTGGAGTGGCCTTTTTTCGGCACCGCCTCGGAATTCAATTTTCCGGCGCCGGCCGGCGCCGGAACCGGCCCGGGCGCTGGCCCGGGTGCCGGCCCGGGCGTTTGGCTCGAGCGCCGGCCCGGGTGCCGGAATCGGCCCGGAAGGGGTTCCAGGGCGCCGGGAGGAGAAAATCAATATTTTCGAAAGAAAAATATGTCTTGGAGTGGCCTTTTTTCGGCACCGCCTCGGAATTCAATTTTCCGGCGCCGGCCGTGCTCCTGCGCGGTCTGCCGTGCTCCTGTGGCGTCTGCCGTGCTCCTGTGTGGTCTGCCGTGCTCCTGTGGTCTGCCGTGCTCATTTGGGGTTTCCCGCGAGCTTGTGGGGTCTGCCGTGCTCCTGTGGGGGAAACGCCAGCGGCGTTCGGGGTACAACAAAAGGCGCGTTTATGTTGTACCTGCGCGCGGTCTGCCGTGCTCCTGTGGGGATTGCCGTGCTCCTGTGTGGTCTGCCGTGCTCCTGTGTGGTTTGCCGTGCTCCTGTGGTCTGCCGTGCTCCTTTGTGGTTTGCCGTGCTCCTGTGGGGTCTGCCGTGCTCCTGTGGGGTCTGCCGTGCTCCTGTGAGGTCTGCGGTGCTCTTGTGTGGTCTGCAGTGCTTCTGTGGTCTGCCGTGCTCATTTGGGATCTGCCGTGCTCGTGTGGTGTCTGCCGTGCTCCTGCGGGATTTGCTGTGCTCCTTGTGTCGTCTCTTTGGTCTGCCGTGCTCCTTTGTGGTCTGCCGTGCTCTTGTGGGGTCTGCCGTGCTCCTGTGTGGTCTGCCGTGCTCCTTTTTTTCCGCCTGCCGTGCTCCTGCTCATTTTCTGAGGACGTCCCGAGCGAAAACGTCATTTTTAACATAAGAGGTTGTAAAACACCTCTGTCGGCATCTCATTTTTTCGAGGATGTCTCGAGCGAAACGCTCATTTTTCATGCATAACAAAAATTTTTGATATTTTTCAACATCCCGATTTTTTGAGGATGTCTCGAGCGAAACCGTCATTTTTAACATAAGACGTCTTAAACGATAGCCTCCAACACCTCGATTTTTCGAGGATGTCTCGAGCGAAATGGCCATTTTGGGGAACCTGACCGGACAAGAACGGGAAGCGCCGTTTTTTATCCACCACGTGCGTCAGAGACCGTATTGGCGAGAACGTCAGAGAAACCCATAAACGCAACAGAACAGACTAAATGATGGCCTGCCGCGTTCCGACGGCCCAAGACGGCCCAAGAGGCCCCCAAGATCGCTTTAAGATCGCCCAAGAGGCCTTCAAGATGGCCCCGAAACGGCCCAAGAAGTCCCCAAGACGGTCCCAAGAGGGCCCTAACACGGCGCAAGAGGCCTCCAAGACGCCCAAGATGTCTTCCAAGACGGCCAAGATGGCCTCCAAGACGGCTAAGATGGCTCCAAGAGGGCCCCAAGACGGCCCAAGAGGCCTCGAAGACGGTCTGCCGTGCTCCTGTGGTCTGCCGTGCTCCTTTGGGGTCTGCCGTGCTCCTGTGGAGTTTGCCGTGCGAACGTGGGGTCTGCCGTGCTCCTGTGTGGTCTGGCGTGCTCCTGTATGGTCTGCCGTGCTCTTGTGTGGTTTGCCGTGCTCTTGTGTGGTCTGCCGTGCTCCCGTGGGGTCTGCCGTGTCCTGTGTGGGCTGTGGGCTGCGGGGCCTCTAAAGGCTGGAAAAAAGGAGAGCCCGAGGCTCTCACACGGGAGCCTCCAGGGCCAGCAGGAGGGGGCCGCTTCGGGCCGCCCTCCCCGAGGGGCCGCTTCGGGCCAACCCCCAGCACGCCCTCGCGAGGGGCCGCATCGGGCCTCCCCGAGGGCAGGCCGCCAGGGCCAACGGGGGCGCCTAGGCCCCAGGGCCACGAGGGCGGGCGGTGCCGAAAGGCATGCAGAAGCAGCGAAGCTGCACCAAAGATCAAGCTGAAGCAAAAGGACTTCAAAGATCAACGACAACAGCGTAGTGTTGCAAGCTCACGTACACCTTCAAATACAAGACATGCTAATGCACGGAGCAAACGGAATTAGCGTCCGCACGCAAGGCCACGGAGGAAGGACTCACTCACAGACCTCGTAGCCCCAGAGACAACAGCGTAGTGTTGCAAGCTCACGTACACATTCAAATACAAGAAATGCTAATGCACGGAGCAAACGGAATTAGCGTCCGCACGCAAGGCTAACCGTCCTGCACCTGGGCCTCGGCAAGGACGAGGAGCCCCTCGAGCGCGAGCGAGGGCCCGTGAGCAACACAGGCGATCGATGCTACCGAGAGGCCGTCCAAAAAGGCCCAGAGACCGCGGACGGGCTCGCCCACGCCGCCAGCCCCGCCTCCGCGCGGGGGGCCTCCTCCGACTCCTCCTCGAAGGCCGTGCCGATGACGACGGGACGCAGGTCGAAGCGGACGCGACGGGCGCGCCGCCCCGTGCTTGCACCACGCTTCCTGCGGACGCGGCTGCCTTCGAAACCAGCGCCAGGATCAGTGCCGCCAGCCACAGGAGCCGCGAGGGGCCCGCCGCCTCCCGAGAGGAGCGCCGCAGGGTGAGCGTGCAGGTACGCCAGAACCGCAGTGCTGGCCTGTGGCGCCGCCTCCGACACCGAGCAGGCCGTATCCACTTCAGCTTCGGCAGCACCCACCTCCAGGTAGTCGAACTCGGCCGAGTCGGCCGCATTGCCCACGGGGCTGGAGACGGCCTCAACGTGACCACCACTCGAGCCCGCGGAGCCCGTCGGCAGGGGCCCTCCAGCACCAGCCACAACGTCAGCACGCGCGTGAAGACCAGCCGAGGCGTAGACCAAGGCGCCACACGTGCAGCGGATGGACACGGGGGGCAGCGTCTCCCAAGGCCCAACGCTCTGGACCGCGAGGAAGGCGTCCCGCGCCCGCGGCGGCCGCGCCTCCGCGCGTGCAGCACCGCTCGCAGTCCTGCTCTCCCAGCCGGCGCCGCCCAGCTGCTCCCAGACTCCTGGGGGGTGCCGCGGCCAGAACGGGGCAGCCTGCTCGCGAAGCACGGCCGGGTTGCCCGCCACGGCGTACAGCTTCCGCCCGAGCACCTCCGCGCCACCGACGCCCTGCAGACGAGCTTCGAGACGCGCACTCCTCTGCATCTGCCGAAGGCGCGCGGGCCGCGCCTCTGCCACGCTCTCGCCCTCGGCGTCGGCGTGTAGCGCGACGCTGCGCCTGAGCACGTCCTCGGGCGAGGGCGTCTCGCCCTTAAGGAGTGCGCGCAAGGCAGGAATCAGCGCCGCCACGCGGTCCGCCAGCTCCGCGCCCCCGATGAGAACCTCGAAGCCGCCCAGGAGCTGCCGAAGGGAGCGCCTCAGGGAGGCGGCCTCCTCGCGGGCCTCCGCGTGCTGCTTGACCAACTTCTGCACCAGACGGTCTGCCGAGGCACGGGCACCAGCCGCGCCCCGCAGAACCTCCCGCGCCATCGCCTGCCCAAGCACGCCTGAACAAGCTGGCTTGAGCCAAAATGGCTACGGCCGTGTCCTGTGTGGTCTGCCGTGCTCCTGTGTGGTCTGCCGTGCTCCTGTGTGGTCTGCCGTGCTCCTTCTTGGTCTGCCGTGCTCATGTGCGGTCTGCCGTGCTCCTGTGCGGTCTGCCGTGCGAACGTGTGGACTGCCGTGCTCATTTGGGGTCTGCCTTGCTCCTTTGTGGTTTGCCGCGCTCCTGCGTGGTCTGCCGTGCTCCTGTGTGGTCAGCAGACCCAGCGCTTCCCGTTCTCATAAGCCCAGGGGACAAAGAACGCTTCCCGTTCTTTCCCGACAAAAGAACGCTTCCCAGTATGTTCCGCCGTGTTACTGTACAGTCTGCCATGCTCCTGTGCATACAGCCGCGCTCCTGTGCGTTCTGTGTGTTCTGCCGCGCTCCTGCATCGCATGCGGTGCTCCGATATCTGGTACAGAATCTCACAAAGAGGCGCGATGCACAGAACAATGGGGTTTTTTTTTTTTTGAGATTCCGTCGTGTGCAATGCAAGCCGCAATTATGCATGTCACGGTGGCACCACGGAGCGCCAGTGGGTTTAAAGCACCACCACCGTATATAAAGCAGACATACCGTGCTAAGCGCGCGTTTCAATAACGTTCGCTCGAACTCAGAACGCGCGGCGAAGAGTAGGCGCCCCTATCGACGTCTTTGGGTAAAAAGCCTTACTCACACCAAATGCACTAAGATTTCGGACAGTCAGCAAAGTGCACTTGACAGCCCACATCGCAATCGCGCTATCCGCTCACCAGGGCAACCAGCGCCCGCCTTCAGTGTTGTGAGGGTAAGGTAACACAGGTACAAAGTGGTTGCGATTCTCTCTGGCAACGGCGATCCGTCGAGGGGCAGATGGGTTCCCGAGAACGACGCCGCTTCCGTCGTAAGCGAGGTCCATCACGCGCAGACAGTAATGAGACTCATCGACATTCTGAGGCCCTGCACGCGCATGTTGCCCGATGCTCCGTAGCACGGCGGACCAGTGATCTGTACTCAAATAGTTCCGCGGGTAGACTTTCATGCAATTGCCCGTGCAGGCATCAGCGGTGAGAGAGCAGCCGACCCCGCACACGCGCGGGAATTCCACCTGCAAGCTTGTCCTGACAGCGTCCACGCCCGTTGCGATTTCAACACACTGCTCTAAAGAGTACACGAAGCAGTTGCAGTCATGGCCATCAGCGACACCCAAGTAATGATAACCTTCTCCAGGGATGTGCACAATCCGACGTCCCTCAGCATCTCTGCCTTCGCGCTGCCACTGAAATTGCGTACGGTGCCTCCTCCGACCTCGAAGATCGCGAAGAAACCTTTGCGCGTCGAGCATGTCATCCGCGTTCGGTGTCCACGCGAGCTGTCCGCGGTCTCGACCGAAATAAGGACATAGGGGGCTAGTGTTGTCGCGGTGGCAAGTCTTCATACAGCCTTGACATCCGTCGTCACGGTCTTCGCAGCAGCGGTGGCTGTACTGCAAACACGTGCCTGGGGGGGCAAGTGAGGAGTCAGCAGAGGCGAACCCGGCACTCTGTGCGTTGACGGAATCGTCGCGGCTGCCAAGGCACGTCGGAGAGAAGTTCCAGCACCGATTTCGACCACAGGAATGGCATCCATGGCGCCTCTGAAATCCTGAGCACTCAGAGGAACCGGCAGCAACGATCTCGCCGAAACTGAGGCAGAATTCACAAGGTTTATCTTGGCAGAGAACACTTGTGCAATCTGCGTGACACATGCGGGAACACGAGCGACATCCAAACTCTTTGTCAATCGCGCAGACACGCGTGTATTCTGTGCACATGTGGAGGCGCGGCTTTCTCATACTCTCCGCGGCAGCCTTGCGTCCCTCGTCGATGGCCGGGCACAGCTGCTCGCGTCTTCGGTATCCAAAAAAATCCTCAGCGCTCTCGTCCGGACCCGAGGAGGCACACGCTCCGTAGTGCTGCTCAAGCCGAGCCGCTGCATCGGGTCCCAGACCGCGTTCTTTCCCTGTTTCCTGACGCGCCTCGGCAGCAGCCGCCGCCTGACTGCATTTGTAGCGCGTCACTATCGAGTCGGAACTCAGCAGCAGCGTGTCTGAAGCGGCACCAGAGGCGACTGGCGTCAACACATCGCTTCGATTTGCGGCCATCAAGGGCACGCTGCCGCGAGAGATAGCTGACACAACCGCCGTGGAAGTTGCAGCGGGAGGCATGGCTAAGTCTGGCGTGAACATCTTCGGGGATTTTGAATCAAAGCGCGGCGTAGATCTTGGGGGGCACGCCCTGGCGCTCTTAGCTGGTCCCCCGGCAGCGCCTCCGTCGTCGACGACCCTTGCCATTTTATCCGTCCGTGCACTCTTAGCGGGTGGATAAAGTTCGCCAGGATAAGATTTGCCAGGGCCCACCGCAGTCTTCGCGCGGAGGCGTCTCCGAGATCCCTCGGCAAGCGCAGGTGGTCCTGCAGGCTCGTCGTCAGCAGCATCGTGCACAACTGTGCCTGTTGACACTTGCTGCGAACAGGCGGCCTCCGGACGCTTCGCTCTCGCCGCGGCGACTGCCGCCGCCTGTTTTGGGCCACCGTTCCTTGCCAACACGCTGTTCCAGATCTCGGCGCGGATGCTGTCAGGAATGTGGAGGTCGTTCATGTTCTTCATACGTTGGATGAGCTCGCCCAACGCACACTCCTGTCAGCGAGCAACGCGGGGGAGGGTGTTGGAGGTGAGTGCACGATATGTATGGCTATTGGTGGCTAATACCGTTTTTTATAAGAAAAACTAAAGCTTCGAATACGTTTTGAACGGCTTGAGTCCCAGGTCCTTCAGCCTCTCCAACTCTCGTGTAAGGAAAGCAGGCGGCGGCCTTTCGAGCTCGTGTTTTTCGGCGGCACGAAGAATCAGCAGACCCTCTAACGATCTCGGCCGCGACAACATAACGTAACAGGCAAGCCAGTGCGTGTCCGCATCCATTGTCGGCGGCTTCTTCATGTCCACTATCGCCGCGTCGAACGTACCGCCCTGTGCGCCGTAGACGATGATAGTGTCGGCGGGGAGAACTTTGAAAGTGGTACGGCGTACGCTGAATGTCTCCTCCTCCCAAGTCGCGCTTAAGTACTCACACGTGGGACGCAGCTGAAACAATCCTTTGCGGTCCGTCGTGACTGGCATGTCGTCTGGGAAGTGTGACTCATCCAACGTCCACGAGACATCCGCCGCCTGCAGCCACAACGACACTGGCATGCAGCGCAAGTGGACCACATTATCCTCCTCGTTCGGCTTTGGAAATGTCTCGCTCTCCGAGAAAACTATATGCCGAACTGTGCACACGCATCCTTTCATAATTCCGAGGCGCGGACAGTCCTCACGGGTACTGAAAAGACAAGATGAACACGGCAGACGACAACTCCTGTGGTGTCTGCCGTGCTCCTGTGGTCTGCCGTGCACCTGTGGGGTCTGCCGTGCTCCCGTGGGGTCTGCCGTGCTCCTGTGTGGTCTGCCGTGCTCCTGTGGTCTGCTGTGCTCCTGTGTGTCTGCCGTGCTCCTGTGTGGTTTGCCGTGCTCCTGTGTGATCTGCCGTGCTCCTGTGTGGTCTGCCGTGCTCTTGTGGTCTGCCGTGTTCCTATGGGGTCTGCCGTGCTCCTTTGGGGTCTTCCGTGCTCCTTTATGGTCTACCGGGCTCCTGTGTGGTCTGCTTTGCTTCTGTGGAGTCTGCCGTGCTCCTGTGTGGTCTGCCGTGCTCCTGCGTGGTCTGCCGTGCTCCTTTTGTGGTCTGCCGTGCTCCTGTGGGGTCTGCCGTGCTCCTGCGTGGTCTGCCGTGCTCCTTTGAGGTTTGCCGTGTTCCTTTGGGGTCTGCCGTGCTCCTTTGGGGTCATCCGTGCTTCTTTTTGGTCTACTGGGCTCCTGTGTGGTCTGCTTTGCTCCTGTGGAGTCTGCCGTGCTCCTGTGCGGTCTGCCGTGCTCCTGTGTGGTCTGCCGTGCTCCTTTTGTGATCTGCCGTGCTCCTGCGGGGTCTGCCGTGCTCCTGCGTGGTCTGCCGTGCTCCTTTGAACTCTGCCGTGCTCATGTGGGGTCTGCCGTGCTTCTGTGTGGTCTGCCGTTCTCCTGTGAAGTCTGCCATGCTTCTTTTGTGGTCTGCCGTGCTCCTGCGTGGTCTGCCGTGATCATGTGGGATCTGCCGTGCTCCTGTGTGGCCTGCCGTGCTCCTGAGGCGTCTGCCGTGTTCCTGTGGGGTCTGCCGTTCTCCAGCGTGGTCTGCCGCACCCTGGTGGTCTGCCGGTTCTTTTGGGGTCTGCCGTGCTCCTTTGGGGTATGCTGTGCTCCTTTGGTATCTGCCGTGCTCGTGTGTGGCTTGCCGTGCGTCTGTGTGGTCTGCCGTGTTCCTTGAAGTCTGCGGGGATCCCGTGAGGTCTGCCGTGCTTCTGTGTGCTCTGCAATGCTCCCGTGGTCCTGTGTGGTCTGCCGTGCTCCTGTGTGGTCTGCCGCGCTCCTGTGTGGTCTGCCGTGCTCCTGTGTGGTCTGCCGTGCTCCTGTGTGGACTGCCGTGCCCCTGTGGTCTGTCGTGCTCCTTTGTGGTCTGCCGTGTTCATGCGGGGTCTGCCGTGCTCCTGTGTGGTCTGCCACCCTGGCTCTAAAAACGCTGTCTTGGGATACTGGACTCTGGCAGCATTCCCGCTTTTTTGGAGGACGGCTCGGAAGACAAACATGACAAACCACAGAAACACAGCATGCCACCGCAGGACGGCTGCCGCGTAATGCTCCTGTGGACTGCCGTGCTCCTGCGGTCTGCCGTGCCCCTGCTGCCTCCCCCGTACGAGGGTGCAAGGAGCGGAAAAAGACGAGGCCGCTGGAGAGAAGGAGAAGGAAGGAGCACGGACAGGGATCATTTCCAGAACACCCCGTCCTTCTCCTGGAACGTCAACCGCATCCCGACGCACAGTGGAAGTATGCCTGGCAAGCTTTGAGTGTCTCGGGGCGACGCTCTGCGCAAAAGCTCTTCCCTGACGTGTGGCATTTTGCGATCATCTTTCGAATGCACCGCCTCATCCCTGGCCTGTACGATGAATAGCGGCTTATGCCCACAAGACGTAGCTGCCTTGGCGTTCACGAGCGAGCGATGCACGCGGATCTTGTGGCGATGAACAATGAACTGCCAGTCGTATTTACTGAAAGGAGAACTCCCCTCGGAAAGTCTCTGGTCGTTCCGCTCCATGATGCGATCCAGGTACATCTGCCAACACTCGGAAGAGATACCCTTGCCGTCTCGCATCTCCGCGAGTAACTTGCTGAGCTTACCCGGGGCGCGAATGTTCACGTCAAGGCACACGACATGCCGTACCCGTTGCCACAACTGAACCCCCTGAGCGGCATCGGCGAGCTTCTTTCGCTTCACGTCCTGATCCTTTGCGTCGGGGTTCTCAGGGGCCGCGTCCAGGGCGCCAGTCTCCTTCAGAGGAGTCGCTAAACTCTTCTGCGCGTCTCCTGGATCCACGGGGGGCAACTGCAAAAAGTCTCCAGAAAGAATCATACCGAGGCCCCCGAAGGGTTTCCTGTCATCCTTCGCTTCCCTGATGCGGACCTCGGAGGCATGGAGCTGGTCACTGGAGACCATAGAGACTTCGTCAATGAAGCACGCGCGAGCTTTCTTCCAGCGTTGTCTGTGCTTCTCCAGCGCAGCAACGCTCAAACGGGCTTTCCGGTCCCTGACAGAAATGTTCCCGAACGGGAGCTTACACGCAGCGCGTGTGGTGTCGCCGCCGATGAGCCGGGCCGCCGAGTTGGATGGAGCACACTTTCGCACGGATTCGGCTCCCAAAAAATAAGAGACCAATGCCTCCGCAACGCGGAGCACCGCAGTTTTACCGGTGCCGCCAGGGCCCATGAGAGCGAGCTGAAAGCCGTCCGCCAAAGAGGAGCTCGAAGAGCACTGCGATCCGGACGGGTCGTCCAGGGACCATTCCCGATTCATCACGTCTTGCAGCCACAACGCATTCCACAGAAGCGCCCGCGCCTGCTTCACGTTGATACCGCCCACATCAGGGATGTCGAGAACCTTTTGGCTCAACAAGAACAGCGCAGCCTCTACAACAGACGTCGATGACTGACGGGCCAACAAGGGCACCTTGCGCTCATGTGCTACGGGAATTCTCGCCATCGCCGCGTCGATGCGTTGCTGTAGCACATCTGACTTCGTCTTCTCGACTTTCCTGACCATCTCGACCTTATCCTCGCCCTCGTTGACGATCTTGAAAAATTTCTGCTGCATGTCAGAGACGATGAGCGACTTTCGTGCTGACAACGAGCACTCTTGGAACGCACCGTCGCCGTCAGCGGCAGCTGTGCGCCCCGAAACGCACTTCTTTTCCTCTTCGATAAAGCCACGGAGATATTTTGCCTCGTTGGATCTGCTTTTCGCCAGAGTATCCGAGTTGACCAGTTCGTTCAAGTCAATCTCCACGGTTCCGCAAAGCTGGCTGACTGGATCTGCTTCGCGACCCGACGCGCGAGGAACTGCCGCATCACTGGGGGCATCGTCCTCCATCGCAGCATCGCCGCGACTCTCGTCCGAATCGGACTCCATCAACATCTCCTCGTCGTCGGCCCTGTTCGGATCGGGGCCATCGATATCGGCAGCAGCGTCGGGATAACCACGGAGAGCGCCCCCTGTCGGCACACGATCAACAACCGATACGTGGCGCTTTGCGACGAGGTCGTAATTCCTCAGGCATTCACACACGCGACAAGCCCACCATTCCTTGCTGAGAGGTGGCGTATCACTACGTGCTCGAGAAGCGATGGACTCCTGAGTGCTGCGCCAATCCTCGAACTCATTCAAAAATGCGCCGTAGCACTCCGCAGGTTTGTGCGTCCACGGCGCGGGCGGGGCGCGACGCAGCACGTCCTCCACTGCTCGGAAAGGTCGAAAGAGCAGTTGCACGTACACCGCGTACTTAACCTCGTCTTCTAATCTCTTAGCTTCGTCATCTCCGTCTTTCTTTGCCTCCGGGCACGGAGGGAGAAATCCGCGAAGAACAGGTATCCGCCACGCGATGCTCAAGCGGACGGTCACGCAGTACGCGTACTTGTATAGCTCAGGCCCGAGGGGGCGATGCTCCGAAGGATCTCCGCGCAGACGCACTTTTTCGCGCTCCCGGCTGTATAGCTTTTCTGCAGAGAACTGTCGCTTACCGTCGGCCGCGACGTGCCACGCCACAGTGTTCACGGGGCGATGTCCGTCAGGGCGAGCTTGCCGAGCTTCGCAAGCCGCGAAGAAAAAGTACAATGGGAAATCCTCCAGCTCGTCGGGGCGGTAGAGGTAATCGTACTCCGTCAAGAACGGCCTTCGGTAGAGTTTCGTAGAGTACGGACGCGCGGCAGTGGAGGGTCCACTCGTCTCTGCACCCGTTGCGACCTCGCTCAACCTTTTCGAGATTAGCATGTTGAGGCCTGGCGTCAAGACGGTAACGAACTCGTGGCTAGAGTACAGGGTCGGCTCCTCAAGCAGGTAACTGAGCATCTCTGGAAACCCTTTGTGCATCCTGTTGTTCGCCGCCGACAACAGCCTGTGGAGAATCCGCTTCGCCTTCTCGTGCACGCTCTCAGGCTCGTCGCCGCGGCCAGCAGCCTCCTTCGCGTCTTGCTCTTTCTGATGGAGCGAGACTGCAAGAGTCAGCACGAGTCCCTCCGCGTGCGGCGCGGACTTGCTAGAGCATGACGAACAGTAAAACTCATTCGCCGCCTGCTGCTCTATCATTCCCGCTCTGGCGGTGGCAACCTCTGCCTCATCGGGCACGGCGTCTGGGCTGCTGCTCTTCAGAGCGCATAACCGCGGGAGCACTTGGATGTCGTGATTGCACTGCGGGCCGAGAATGATCGGGTAGGAAAGCTTGAAGTGCCACTGGTGCGTCGTCTCCAGAGCCGGCAACCCAACGTGTGGATACCCTAGAACCGGCGGAGGCCCAACGCCATCCCATCGAGGATGCAGCTGCAAGCCATGCTGTCGTTTGGCGACGAGGCGCCCCGTCTTCGGGTCCTCCACCTTCACGAGATGCCAATAGAACATGCGGCAAAAACCACGCTTTCCGAGACGCCCCTTGTGACATACGGACGGTCTGCACACGTGGTTGCCCGTCTTGCGACTCCTTGAAAAAATCTCGACAACAGCGCGGCTGCCCCAGTCGCTACCGGACACGTTCTCGTCGCCGTGATACGAACCCACGAAGAAGGGATACTCAGGCACACTCCTGGATAGAGCAGGCGGCACGTCGAGTCCGCGCGCCACGGTCTGCGCGAGGTTGCTCTCCTCAACGCGAGCGCTGCCGATCATGCTCCGCTGCTTCAGAGTCACCGGGAACAACGGCAGCCCGGCGGTGGTTCTCATCGCCTTGGGAACGGCGAAATGATGCGCTACGGCTTCCTGGCTGCGGAACATGACTGAAGCGTGATAGTAGTAGAGACGCTTAAATTCGTCGAGAAAAAAGTTCTTCTTGAAGATATCGTCGGGATGCGAGAAGCCAAGAATCTGCACGAGCATATGTATGTGCAGCGCCTTCCGCATCTGTTCCTCAACAACTCCGAGATAGGAGCGCACGTACCCGAATACACCCGGCACCTCGCTCGCCGCGATGCCATCCGGAGGCAGGTTCGAGGGTCCATCAGCGCAGTTGAATATATAGCGCATCACGTCTTTGACGGTCGAGTGGAAAACACGTTGGGCATAGTAAGGGTCTTGCGCCACGCGACGGTGGAGAAGACGAGGGTGCTCTGCTTGAAATTCTTTCATCCAGTCCTCCGCCTCCTTGTCGCTCATGTTCAGGGAGAATCGCCTCTGCATCTCTGTGCCGTCCTGCACCAGTAGCACCGTCAGCGGACTGCGAATGTCGCGGGGATTCAGCGTAAAGAACAAAGTCGAGCAGCCCGAGTTTATCTGAAGAGCTCGGAAATTCCACCTGTACGAGTCCCGCTCTTCGGCAGATCCACGCACTTTCCGGGACACGGCCTGCATTTTTTCAGCGGCTGTGCGGACTGGTTGGGTCAACTTTTTATTCCTCAGAAGATCGCTCATGCCCTTCGCATCACCTCCCATCGCGATCGCGGCGGCAACCAAACCTTCCGCTGTGATCTCGTTCACCCTTTGCATCTCATCGGGAGTTATGCCCATGAAGCCGCCGCCGGGCGTCTCCCTCATGCACGCTTCCACCTTGCTCATCTGATCTCGACGCATAAAGATGTTCACCACGGATGCGACGAACTCCAGGTCCTTCCGCCAGTAATCACAATCTGCTCGTTTAAGTAAGCACTGGATCCACTTATTGGAAGACAAGAACGATACGGTACGATCCGCCGCTTTACGTTCTGGGCAAGTTTCCTGACAGTCTCCCCGAGGAAACAGCCGAACGAAGCAGGACGCCCAAAAGTTCGGCGTTCGAGCAGACAAGAACGTGGTCTCGTGCGTGATCTTCAAGGGCGCTCTGTCGTCAGTCTCCGACCGCGCCCACTCTTCCAAACGTTTTCGCATCTTCTCATTCGACAGCTTCTCCAGGTCTTCGATGGCCTGGGCCATGCTCACACCGTGCATTCTCTTCTTCTCGGCGCGAGCAGATAAGTCGGCGGGGTCTAGAGCGGCCAATTCCTCTTTAAACCGCTGTGCCGCCTTAAAGTTTTTGATAACCTGTGTCCACAGCTGGAGGGAGTCGACGTCTGCTAAACCGCCGTTAACGACGGCGGCGTTTTCCGCCTCCTCGGGCCCGTTCTCCTCCGTGTCGCGTTCACCTTCTTCCGTGCAGTCAGCTGGTCCTTTAGACTGCACCGAAGCTCTTGAGCCGCTTATCGACGTCGCCGAGTCGACGAGCTCGCGCGGAACGCCCGAGGATCCACCAACGCTCGTCGCGCACGCGTCCAGCAACTCCTCGATCGACTCGTGGAGTAAGCCAGAATCCGCACATGCGGCATGGTGTCGCGCGGCTTCCATGTGGTTCCAGCTGTTGGAGCACAACCAACGAAATGCTGCTCGAAGTCGCGCCACGGAAACTTGCAAGTCAGGATGATGCCAGATCCCGTCAGCGCGGCTTCCCACGAACTGGACGATCAGAGTGTGCGCCAGGGCCATCGGCGACAGTCCGATGGCAGTCAGAGCCGCGTCCGGGCTCTGAGGGTACGCAACAACGTTCTTCTGGCGATAGCGCGGCGCCTCGTCGGCACTCGTCCTGGCGAAAGACGCCCTGTCCAACAACACGCGCTTCACGCTGACGTACACCCTCGCCAAGTTGATCACCTTGCACTCGGTGTACGTTAAGTGCGTCAGCTCTTCCGGGTCAGGACCACGCCACATGCCATTCGCGAGAGCCTCGCTGGGCATGCGTACGCGCGGGCAGCACCGCCCGCGGCTGTCTGTGTGCGTGTTCGACAATGCTTCGGCGCACTCCTTGCACATGCTCAGGCGAAGATCTCCGCCGCTGCCCTCGGGCGCATCCGTACATACTGCGTACTTGTACAATACCCACCGATGATTCGGATCACCTGGGGTGCGCACAAGACAACATGACAACTTTCCCGGCCAACGTGGGCACGGGGGCCGAGCACGCCAGACAGCAGGAGCACGGCAGACGACTATAGCACGCAATCCAGGGCAGCAGACACGATCACGGCACAGCAACACAGCACGAGTGGGCATAAGAGCACGTCAGACCACAGGAGCAGGAGCAGGAACACCGGAGCACGGCAGACCACAGGAGCACCACGACAACAGAAGCTGGGACAACGAGAGAGAGCGCCACCTGGAGAGACAACGGAGTGCTCCCGCATGTCTCTCCTCAGATTGTCTTCCCAAGGGCGCACGCGGTCGACCCAGTTCTTTGCGTCCTCCACCTTCGTGAACCCGAGCTCGTGCGGCTCCCCGCGGCTGCACGCCTCCACGCTCTCTCGCGCTTCCTGGGCTCGCTCAGACACCTTGAAGAACTTTTTCAAATACTGTTCAATGCTGAGGAGCTTGTCGACCTGCTCGTACCACGTCTCCTTGTTTTCATTCCAGAACTCTTCGGACCACGATAACCACTCCGGGCACTTTGCGCTGCTCGACGATGGGATGTGAACTCGATTCAAGTCGCACTTGGGCGTCTTTCGACAGCAGACGGCACAGGCATCATAGACGTATCGTTCGTCCGTCTGCGCATTCTTGTACTGCGCCACACAAAACCTGCCCACTTGCGGACTGACCGCGTCCAGGCCCTCTGCGCGCGCCCGTTCGAGCACTGTCCTCCGGCACGTCTGGAGAATGTCTTCGCCGTCTCGTTGATGGAGATCATGCCTGCACTCCTCGAGCAGGTGCCGTCGCTTGTCGTCGTCGTCGGAGTCACCCCACGGTTGCTTGCAGAAGCGGCAATGGTTCGGGTCCAGGTACTCGGGCGTCTCCGCGTACTTCGGCAAGGACCCGGGCTCGGGCTTTGCCAGAGCGAGAAGTACCTGCAAAGCGGGTGCGGATCGGGCGACGTCGTCGTCGAGCCTCTGCGGTCGCGGCTCGTCGGCGAGGAACTTCCTGCTCTCGTCACGGACGAGGTCTGCGAGCCTCTCCTCCCCGAAGCATTTCTGGCAAAAGTGCTGATATACCCTGGCGGCCCGGGCTGGTTTGACACCGCATCCGATGCACTTGGAGCCAGCTGCCTTCCAGCACACGTCGCACAGCGCCGCGCTCTGCTTGAAATGCGACGAGCACACAAAGCAGCTCCTCACGACTTTGGAGCAGCTCTCTGTTCCGCATTCAATCATGGACACCTGCAGCGGTTCCTTGGTGGCGGAGTCCTCGGTCCTGTAACAGAATGCGCACCCGGGGGAATCCCAATGTGTTTTACACAGGCCCGCCGCCCGCTGCTCTGGCGTTGTGCACTCAGGACACCACAGAGCGAGGTTGTCGCACATCTCGCACTGCGGGGTCTCCAGCGACGCCGGCGGCACAGCGTGGCAGACGGCGCACGAGCGCGCAGCGAAACAGGCCTTGCAAGCTCGCCGATATATCAGATGTTCTCGCGCTCGCATCCGACCGCAGTGCACGCAGCACCGACCGTCCTGGGCCCAGCACGACTGGCACTTCGCTTTCGACTGCCCGTTAGACATGCCAGAGCACGCGCTACAGAACACCACGGACCCCTCGCAAGATTCGTTGCTACACTTCGACCGAGTCAAAAAGCCAGCAGGAGTCGGCGCCGCGCAGTGCGAACAAGGGATGCGAGATTTAAAGCACTCGGAGCACAGCTTGAGATTGCGTTCCTCAGGCGAAGTGTGCGTCGGACACGCCATGGCACATCTTTTTCCCGCGGCCTGCGGGTTCTTCTCGCGTGACTCGCAGGCCACGCACAGCGTTGGTTCGTCTTCCTCGTTGCACCAGGTACACTCAGGGCAGCTGCGAGACCGATAACACGGCTTACACATGCCACCGCTGAGTTCGCGCTGCGCACCGCAGAATCGACAACATCCCTTTCTCTTCTCCTGCTTCTGGCGGTACAGAGTAGGATGCTTCTCCTTGTAGCAAGACTTGCAGTAACCGTCATAACCGGACTGAGCCATCGGGGGCTCCACGCCACGCCGGGTCTTGTGATACCCTTTGCAATACTTGATCGTCTTAGCAGCACGCGCTCGACAAACAAGAGACCCACAGAACATCATATAGAACGCCAGTCGGAGCATGCCGATAATAAACATCGGTAAGAATCGCCCCGAAGATCACCTACTAGAAAGTTGGATCTCACAGGGCTAATAAAAGCACCTCCACCGCGCACACCCTGCCGCAGCTTTGCATCCACATTGAGCCAAATACAACATATGCCAACAACATAGAGCACGTGAGAGAGCGACCTTAATCGTCGAGGGCTATCAAGAGCACCGACAGCATTGCGCACTGGAAAAAATTGAAGGCGCGCTCCTGTGCTCTGTTATACTCCTGGCGTTGCCGTGCTGATTGGCCGTGTTGGTCTGCTGTGCGTGGTCTGGCGTGTTCCTGTATGGTCTGCCGTGCTCTTGTGTGGTTTGCCGTGTTCCTGTGTGGTCTGCCGTGCTTCCGTGGGGTCTGCCGTGTCCTGTGTGGTCTGCCGTGCTCCTGTGTGGTCTGCCGTGCTCCTGTGTGGTCTGCCGTGCTCCTTCTTGGTCTGCCGTGCCCATGTGGGGTCTGCCGTGCTCCTGTGCGGTCTGCCGTGCGAACGTGTGGACTGCCCTGCTCATTTGGGGTCTGCCTTGCTCCTTTGTGGTTTGCCGCGCTCCTGTGTGGTGCCGGCCCAGGCGTTCGGCTCGAGCGCCGGCCCGGGTGCCGGAAGCGGCCCGGAAGGGGTTCCCGGACGCCGGGAGCAGAAAAACAATATTTTCGAAAGAAAAATATGTCTTGGAGTGGCCTTTTTTCGGCACCGCCTCGGAATTCAATTTTCCGGCGCCGGCCGGCGCCGGAACCGGCCCGGGCGCTGGCCCGGGTGCTGGCCCGGGCGTTTGGCTCAAGCGCCAGCCCGGGTGCCGGAATCGGCCCGGAAGGGGTTCCAGGGCGCCGGGAAGAGGAAATCAATATTTTCGAAAGAAAAATATGTCTTGGAGTGGCCTTCCTTCGGCACCGCCGCGGAATTCAATTTTCCGGCGCCGGCTTTTCCCCTGCGCGGTCTGCCGTGCTCCTGTGGCGTCTGCTGTGCTCCTGTGTGGTCTGCCGTGCTCCTGTGGTCTGCCGTGCTCATTTCGGGTTTCCCGCGAGCTTGTGGGGTCTGCCGTGCTCCTGTGGGGGAAACGCCAGCGGCGTTCGGGGTACAACAAAAGGCGCGTTTATGTTGTACCTGCGCGCGGTCTGCCGTGCTCCTGTGGGGATTGCCGTGCTCCTGTGTGGTCTGCCGTGCTCCTGTGTGGTTTGCCGTGCTCCTGTGGTCTGCCGTGCTCCTTTGTGGTTTGCCGTGCTCCTGTGGGGTCTGCCGTGCTCCTGTGGGGTCTGCCGTGCTCCTGTGAGGTCTGCGGTGCTCTTGTGTGGTCTGCAGTGCTTCTGTGGTCTGCCTGCAGTGCTACTGTGGTCTGCCGTGCTCATTTGGGATCTGCCGTGCTCGTGTGGTGTCTGCCGTGCTCCTGCGGGATCTGCTGTGCTCCTTGTGTCGTCTCTTTGGTCTGCCGTGCTCCTTTGTGGTCTGCCGTGCTCTTGTGGGGTCTGCTGTGCTCCTGTGTGGTCTGCCGTGCTCCTTTTTTTCCGCCTGCCGTCCTCCTGCTCATTTTCTGAGGACGTCCCGAGCGAAAACGTCATTTTTAACATAAGAGGTTGTAAAACACCTCTGTCGGCATCTCATGTTTTCGAGGATGTCTCGAGCGAAACGCTCATTTTTCATGCATAACAAAAAAATTTGATATTTTTCAACATCCCGATGTTTTGAGGATGTCTCGAGCGAAACCGTCATTTTTAACATAAAACGTCTTAAACGATAGCCTCCAACACCTCGATTTTTCGAGGATGTCTCGAGCGAAATGGCCATTTTGGGGAACCTGACCGGACAAGAACGGGAAGCGCCGTTTTTTATCCACCACGTGCGTCAGAGACCGATTGGCGAGAACGTCAGAGAAACCCATAAACGCAACAGAACAGACTAAATGGTGGCCTGCCGCGCTGGTCTGTCGAGGTAGTCTGCTGCCCTGGCCACATCATGGTGTCGACACCGTGCTTTTCTCTCGGCCACGCGGGCCCCCACCCGTTGTCGCCCAGCCTACTTTTTCTGTTCCAGCCTGTCTTGTCTTTTGTTTGTCCGTCGTCGTCGTCGCGTGCCTTTCCTTTGTCGTGGTCGTCGTTTTCATTATAATCGTCCGCTGTTGCCGTTCTCGCTGTCGCCGTCGTTATCATTTTATGATTGCGGTCGTTTTTCTGATTGTTTTTTTGTTGTTGGATTCCGTGTTCGGTTGGTTTTTGTGTTATGTTTGTGGTCGTTTTCTGTCATCGTTTTTTGTCGTAATTTTCGAGATCGTTATTGACGAAGACGACGACGACGACGATGACGACGACGACGATCTGCCGTGCTTCTGTGGCGTCTGCGGTGCTCCTGTGGTCTGCCGTGCTCCTTCTTGGTTTGCCGTGCTCCTGTGTGGTCTGCCGTGCTCCTGTGCGGTCTTCCGTGCTCCTGTGGTCTGCCGTGCTCCTTTGGGGTCTGCCGTGCTCCTGTGGAGTTTGCCGTGCGAACGTGTGGTCTGCCGTGCTCCTGTGTGGTCTGGCGTGCTCCTGTATGGTCTGCCGTGCTCTTGTGTGGTTTGCCGTGCTCCTGTGTGGTCTGCCGTGCTCCCGTGGGGTCTGCCGTGTCCTGTGTGGTCTGCCGTGCTCCTGTGTGGTCTGCCGTGCTCCTGTGTGGTCTGCCGTGCTCCTTCTTGGTCTGCCGTGCTCATGTGCGGTCTGCCGTGTTCCTGTGCGGTCTGCCGTGCGAACGTGTGGACTGCCGTGCTCATTTGGGGTCTGCCTTGCTCCTTTGTGGTTTGCCGCGCTCCTGTGTGGTCTGCCGTGCTCCTGTGTGGTCAGCAGACCCAGGGCTGAGGGAAGGCTGGAGCAGTGCTCTGGTGGTCCTTCACCCGCCCAGCTCCGTCCCCTCCCACTCTGGACCGATCTTGCGGGAAGCTGGCTTGTGGCAGCGCATCGCGCGTCGGCCGCCAGCCCAGGTGCCGGCCCGGGCGTTCGGTTCGAGCGCCGGCCTGGGTGCCGGAATCGGCCCGGAAGGGGTTCCAGGGCGCCGGGAGCAGAAAATCAATATTTTCGAAAGAAAAATATGTCTTGGAGTGGCCTTTTTTCGGCACCGCCTCGGAATTCAATTTTCCGGCGCCGGCCGGCGCCGGAACCGGCCCGGGCGCTGGCCCGGGTGCTGGCCCAGGCGTTCGGCTCGAGCGCCGGCCCGGGTGCCGGAAGCGGCCCGGAAGGGGTTCCCGGGCGCCGGGAGCAGAAAATCAATATTTTCGAAAGAAAAATATGTCTTGGAGTGGCCTTTTTTCGGCACCGCCTCGGAATTCAATTTTCCGGCGCCGGCCGGCGCCGGAACCGGCCCGGGCGCTGGCCCGGGTGCTGGCCCGGGCGTTTGGCTCGAGCGCCGGCCCGGGTGCCAGAAGCGGCCCGGAAGGGGTTCCCGGGCGCCGGGAGCAGAAAATCAATATTTTCGAAAGAAAAATATGTCTTGGAGTGGCCTTTTTTCGGCACCGCCTCGGAATTCAATTTTCCGGCGCCGGCCGGCGCCGGAACCGGCCCAGGCTGCCGTGCTCCTGTGTGGTCAGCCGTGCTCCTGAGGCGTCTACGGTGCTCTTTTGGGGTCTGCCGTACTCATTTGGGGTCTGCCGTGCTCCTGTGGTCGGCCGTGCTCATTTGGGGTCTGCCGCGCGCCTGTGAGATCTGCCGTGCTCCTGTTGGGGAAACGCCAGCGGCGTTCGGGGTACAACAAAAAGGCGCGTTTATGTTGTACCCGCGCGCGGTCTGCCGTGCTCCTGTGGGTTCCGCCGTGCTCCTGTGGCGTCTGCCGTGCTCCTGTGGCGTCTGCCGGGCTCCTGTGTGGTCTGCCGTGCTCCTTTGTGGTCTGCCGTGCTCCTGTGGAGTCTGCCGTGCTCCTGTGTGGTCTGCCGTGCTCTTGTGGTCTGCCGTGCTCATTTGGGATTTGCCGTGCTCATGTGGGGTCTGCCGTACTCCTGTGTGGTCTGCCGTGCTCCGGTGGTCTGCCGTGCTCCTTTGGGGTCTGCCTTGCTACTGTGGGGTCTGCCGTGCTCCTGTGTGGTCTGCCGTGCTCCTGTGGTTTGCCTTGCTCCTGTGTGGTCTGCCGTGCTCCTTTTGGGTCTGCTCTGCCGTGCTCCTGTGGGGTCTGCCGTGCTCCTGTGGGGTCTGCCGTGCTCTTGTGGGGTCTGCCGTGCTCTTGTGTGGTCTGCCGTGCTCCTTTGTGGTCTGCCGTGCTCCTGTGTGGTCTGCCGTGCTCCTGTGTGGCCTGCCGTGCTCTTGTGTGGTCTGCCGTGCTCCTGTTGGTCTGCCGTGCTCTTCTGTGGTCTGCCGTGCTCCTATGGGGTCTGCCGTTGTTCGGCCGTCTTGAGGGCACTCTTAGGGCATAGTCTGCCGTGCTCCTCGTCTTGGTCTGCCGTGCTCCTCGTCTTGGTCATCCTTTCCGTCGTCTTGAGGGCGCTCTTGGTGCCTGGTCTGCCGTGCTCCTCGTCTTGGTCTGCCGTGCTCCTCTCGGTTCCTAAGCCTGGTCTGCCGTGCTCCTCGTCTTGGTCTGCCGTGCTCCTCTCGGTTCCTACGCGCGGTCTGCCGTGCT